AAAAAAAAAAAAAAAAGCTGAGAGAAACAGTTGTCACCATACTCTAACCATTTGGGCCCAAAAGAACACACCCTAGAAAAAGGGAAAAGGTCAAGCCCGCCCGAGCGAGTGAGACAAAGACAAACTAAAAAAAAAAAAAAAAAAAAAAAAGGGGAAAAAAAGGGATAAAAAGAAGGAAGAGTTAAAAGTATGGGCAAGGAAATGACTATTTTTAAAATCCAAGCTGTGAAGGAGGGATGAGCACAGGTGGTAAGAATACGGGTTGGGTCAAATGACTAGAGGGCCCTGTGGGGTTAAAGATTTGTGTTCGGGTAGCAGAGGAAGTAAATAGGAAAGAGGAGGTGGTTAAGAACAGGATTCCTGAAACTGAGATTTCTGGAAGAGATACCCTTCTGGGTATGACAAGGTCTAGGATGTGACTACAACAGATGAATAGGGAAGCCAAGAAATGAAGAATAAGATTACTGAATGGTTACAGAGACCAAAGAATCATGATGCAATAATGGCCTGTACTCTTACAGGAATGAGAGGGAGAGAGCTCTGATTGGGGTGATCTGATGGCATGTGCTTCAAAGGCACTGTGAAGTTCTGGGCAGAAGGAAGAAAATAATTGTCTAGAAGGGGCAAGAAGGAGCAAGCAGGAACGTACCCCACTGTCAGGCCCAGTGGTGCTCGAGATAGGGGAGAAAAAACATCCACCACTTGTTATGTCTACAGAGGAAGCAGAGTCCTCAGGGGACAGCCAGGTTTCAGCCACAGCCATATGGTACCTAATGGAAAGAAACAAAATGTTCTTCAGGAGACAGAAGCCTTCCCTGGTACTAAATTTTAAAGAGAGTATCATACAAATCCCCCATGAAGGGGCAGTAAGGAGCAGAAGGAAAAATTTAAATGGAAATTTTGTTGTTAAATTGTTAACAGTATGAGAACCCATTTTTATTAGGATCTCAAATGTGCCATACACTGTGCTCCTTCTCTCCCATGATCTGTGTTCAATGATATAATCTGACCTAAAGTATTTTTAAACGGCTTTATTTTACCTTAGGACCTTTTCTTGCCATGACACTTGTAGACACAGACTGAGGTAGAGAAGTATTTCTGCATACTTATAACAACATTTAAGATTTATAGAACTTGATTTCCCTTGTTATGATATGTAGGAAGGAGAACAGTTTATAGTACACATGATAAATAACGAACATCCCATTTTTAAATTTCATTTTTAGTGGCACTGGCCTACCCAAGACTGAGCTGTCTGTGTACTGCTCTGGGTACTAAGCTCCAAAGAGGGAAATGGATCAGGTTGGATACTGGGGTCACTCAGACTGTGGGTCACTACCACATTCCCTCCAAAAGAACTCTACCATGCCATTTCCCAGGTTCTTTAACAGACCTCCTTGGCCTGTGGTCACATTGAGAGACACATTTCTTACTTTTTGTAGTCTCAGGGAAAATTCACAGTAAGGAAAAGTTTTATCAAGCACTATCTTTGGATATTTTTGATCATTTACTTTTGACTTTTCTGAAAAACATGTTTATATTAAAACAAAGGTAACATTTCAAATGTGTAGGTGATTATGTAAATTTATACTTAAATACAAACTGGTGAAACCACTGGCAGTTTGGGAAAAAATTAACCATACCTCTTTCTCTATACTAAAAAAATCTGAACTAAAGATTTAAACCAAACAAACAAATAAAATCATGGGTTCTGGGTACCTGGTAATCTGAAAGAGGCTCCCTCCTCCACTCTCAACTCGAAGCTTTCTGCTTCTGCTGAGCCAAGTGATGCTCAGACCTAGAGGCAACTGGTGCTAAGAGAAGCCCAAGGCTCCGTCACAGTCCCAGAAAAAGGAACGTGTGTGATGGGACCTCCCTGCTGTGGGTTGGGTAGTGATTAGAGAACAGCAGTGGAACCCAGAGGGGAGAATCAGTGGAACTACGGAAGAGCTTGGTCTTCAGAGATCTATGGACCCAAAGAGAGGTCAGTGACTAGAGAAGTTTCCTCCAGGTATCTCAGCAGGACTGACAGATTCTCCTTACACTGCTGAGCCTGGGGTGCCAGAGATCCATTTGCCTTTTACCATTTATAGGATTCTGGCCGTTTAAAATACTTAACAGTCACATTTTAGCCCCAGCAAGCTAAAACAAAACACACGAACAAACAAAAACCAACGGCACATCTGAAAAAAAAGGAAGAGGTCCCTCAGTAGTTTTAGAGTAAATATGCAGAATAATCAGAACACACACCTAGTAAAATAGAATTACTAATTACTGGAGGACACGGATCAATATTTGAATAAAAGAAGAGCTTTCAGAGATATTCAAATGTGACACACATACCTTTATGAAGCTAAAAAGCTATATTTTTAATCTAAAAATATAAATAAAATAGAGCATGTCTCTGTGACTCTTGTTGTAATTTGGAAGATAATGTTCAAGAATAACTCAAAATGCAAATATAAAGAGATGGAAATCATGTCAAAAGGGTAGGAGACTTGGAGGATAGAACCAGGAAGCTTAACACGTTCCTAATAGGAATTTCAGAAGTAGGAAAGAGAGACTAGTTTAAAGTTAAATTCGTTAAATAGCCGAGGCAATAATTAAATAATGGAAGAAAAAGTGCTCAGGCCGGAGAAGTAAAAATAAATAATAATTTTTATAATTATTATATATTCCAAATAGTAATTATAGTTCTAGTTATTAACTATAATTTTGGTATTAATAATTATAGTTATATTTACTATTATTACCAAAATGGCAGCTAACACTTAGAAACTTTCTGAATGTTAGGCACTGTTCTAATCACTTTATTAATGCTAATTCATTTAATCTTATCATGATCCCATGAGATATTACTACTCTTTTCATCTTGCAAATGAGAAACTGAGGCACAAAGATGTTAAGTATCCTGCCCAAAGCTTCCCAGCCAGTAAGTGGTGGCCAGAATCTAAGACTCACCAAGGTCTGGGCTAAATAGAAAAGACATATACATAAGCATGTTCTGGTGACATTCCTGGGCTTTAAGATTAAAGACAAACACCTTACAAGTTTCCAAAAACAAGGAATCACGTAGTTATAAATGAAAATAAAAGAAAAATCCAACTGGCATGGTCTGCTCATCTGTGCCACCAGAAGCTAAATGACAATGGAATAGCATCTACAGACCTTTGAGAGAAAAGAACTGCAATTCAGGAATCCTATACCCAGCCAAGATAGGTATACCCAGATAACAGGAAGAAATTTGAAGATACAAAGAAATTCCGACAGTATATCATTAAATACCACATTTGAGAAAAATACCTAAGATAAGACTTTACCCAAGCAACAAGTAAACCAGAGCAGAAGCCTCAAACAGGGCAAGACAAATGATTAGCAAGTAACTTGATCAAACTAGCAAAAATAGGAGAAGGAAACAAAGTGTGAGAAGTTAGGAATAGAATAAAAATAGGAAGAATATAATCAAGTCTATCTGTCACAACATTTACTGAATTCTCTCACTGAAAGACCATCAGAGTGGGGTAAAAATAGCTGTGTGTTTGTAAGAAAATATGTAAAGCTGAAAAAAAAAAGCAGTGGCAAAGAAATATTAGGCTGATGCAAATAAAAAGGAGTGAAAATATTAGTAAGACAGTGAGACTTAAATTTAAACTTAACCAAGATAAATAGGACTTAAGTAACAAAAGGCACACTTCACAATGATGTATTGACAGTCACGAACATGTATATACCAAGTCACATGGCAGCTGAATAATTCAACAATTCATAAAAATGCAAAAACTTAAAAAAACACAATATAATGAGATTTCAAAAACTTCTTTGAAAATGGAGCAGAGAAACACACGGTAAGTAAAAATAATGGAGAACATTTCTTCACTAGAAGATAAAATCATCTTACGTCCATAGAACATTTACAAAAATTGACCAAGATCTTGGTCACAGAAAAAAACTTAAAATTTAAGAATCAGAGGTTTTACAGGCCACATTTTCTAACTGTGACACAAAACATTAGAAATAATGAAATGTAGCTAACTTCTGACTCAGCCTTTTCACAGCCAAAATACTCTCAGAAGTTCAACAATATATAAAAGCATTACTGCAGCAGTTTGTAAGTATAATGGCAAAAAGAAAAGAAGTTAAATAAAAAGGGTTAAGAAAAGAAAAAGCAAGTAATACAAATATCCATCAGTAAGAGACCGTATAAGTTAATTATGAAAATAACTTTGCTATTAACAGGAAGGAAAACATTTTTCTTACCTTAATGTCAGCGAGAGATGCCATTGCCCACGCTATGGTAGATCGCAGTCCAGCTGTCTTGATGTAAGCTCTGCTGGCTAAAGGAACCCTACAAAGAAAAGAATCTGATTATATATTATTACACATTGAACAACAAGATATAAAAATGATTTAGCTGTCCAAATCTGAGAATCATTTAAACATATTCATCCAACATACATTAAAGTATTCCCTAAGTTAGAGAATGTTTCAATCTTATTACAAAAATTCCTTCTCTAATGGGCACCCTGTCTACCCAGCCAGTGTGGAATTTCAGAAAGTTAAATTTTTAGACAACTGAAATTTACACTCTCATGTATTTAATGTATAAAAATGTAATTACACATGAGGAAAATCTTTCTTATACTTCCCTGTCTTCCCAGAGTAGACCTTTTTTTGCTGTCTGAAGTCATGAAAGGGAATATACTATTTTGTGATATAAATGTAGTATGGGAAGTAGAACTGAAGGGATGCTAACCCTTAAAATCTATTTTCTATAAAAAGTCCCTTTTGTAGGTCTGTTTTTTGGTTATTTGCATCTTCCCCAAAAGATGAAATGAAACATGACATTGCACTGTCTAAAATAATTTACTGGATGATGGGCCAAACCAGACATCTCCCAAATCAGTTCACTGGTCTCCAACAAGCATCGCTTCACACTTTATCCTCCAACTCATCAATGCCACCATCACATCAATGTTTCCAGATTTGATAGAAATTTTCAAAATGTCATCTATCATTTATATCTTTCCAATGCAATGAACAAGCAGAATCTCTTTGGAAATTTCAACTCTCCAGGCTTTTCTAGTTCACTTCTATAATTTGTTGGTAAGGTATGAAGACGTGATGTCAAGAACGTGTGCTGGTTTGTTTTGGGGTAGGCTTGTTCCAAAACCACCAAGAGAGGTCTTCTACGAACTTTACGGAAAGCCACGATGTTCTTCAAACCCTCCTTCAAGTTGTTCAACAGAATTCTAGGTATGTGAATGTTAAACATTTGTTTCTTTCAGAATTTTGTCTCTCATTTTTCTTTGACTTTAACTTACCCTGTTTTTGTATTTGTTGCAAGCCTCTTAAAATCTGAGAACTAAATGACATATCCCTTTAAAGTAAAAGTGTAATTGTATACTTACTATTATAATGAGGAAGTTCTACATCGCAAACCCGTGGGAGTTTGGCTTTTTAATAAGGTTTTTTCAAGAAATAATTCACATTGTAAACAGTACTGTATACATACATTTGGAATCAGGGATGTAAACTGGCAGGTAGAAACACTATAAAATATTTTGGCCAGTGAATTTTGCTTCTGCAGGGAGAGCTTAGCAATTATCTTGCTATAAAACACAGTTTGCATTCTAGATACCAAAGCTATAATACACCGTTTACATTCTAGATGCCAAAACTATAAAACAGAGTTTGCATTCTAGATACCAAAAAGGGAGATGCGTATGGAAAACCAGTTTTGTCCATATATAAGAAAAAAATGCTCTTCTAAGCAGCAGGAATTTATATGGAACCTTTCAAAGTTTCAAAAACTATGTATATATTTTTGCTAATAGAAGTTTTTATGGGACATAATTCTGTCAATATTTGACAAAAGTGAATGTTCACATTTTGCTTAAACCTGGGCAAAATTATCTCATTACTTCAACAAAAGGGCCCCATTATACCAGCATAATACAATTATTCAGAAGGCGGCATGTTCAGAAATAAACTCCTAGAAAATAAAAATAATGCTCTACTTTCACAGAATCTAGCTAACGTACACGGTTCAAAAATAAATGTGGTTTTTGATCTTCTTCTCTGCATGTGTGCATTTCTTTTTTATTCTCTTGTACACCTTGTACCACCAAGACAAAGATGTCCTAATCTACATCTATAGCCTAGACTTGTTACCTGAATCCCCCAGATCTTTATCTTCAAATATGTACTTCAACATTTTTATGTGGAAGATAAGTAGTACAAAGTCAACAGGTATAAACTGAATACACTCTCCTGGATTTCACATGTTGATATGTTTCTTCATTTTCTTGTGCCACCTTACTACCCATATATTGGGTACCATAATCTAACTCTTCAGTCTAGACTTGTCACCTGAACTCTAGATCTGTAACTTCAAATATCTACTGGGACATTTTTCACTGAATACACTGTTTTCTTTTGCTACATTTTGTATCTCAGTGACTAATACCAGTATTTACTAATTGTTCAAATCAGAAATCTGAAATTATTCTAGACCCCTTAACTACTTTTTGATTTCATGGCCTTTTTGCTACCTCCAAGAGTTTAAATCCTCTCATTCTCTCTTTTTATTTCTCTTTCATTTAAAAATATTTTTATCTTGGTAATTTTTTTGAAATCAGAAATCTGATCACTTCACTCTTCTGCTTCAAATTCTTATTGCTTTTAGGATAAAATACAAGCTGGTTAACGTACTTACAAGGCACTTCATGGCTTATTTCTAATTTTCTAGCACTTTCTCTATGTCCCATCTACACTGAAACTACCTGCCATGCCCCATGTAAATCCAGCTTCCTTATACCTTGTGCCTTTGCACAGATTCCTTGCCGTAATATCCTTTCCTTCTCTTGTCCACATGACATACCCTTTCTTATTGCTGTCAAGTCTCCTCTTAGGGACAATCTTTTATCTTTTTGCTCACAGGTCCTCAATTAGAGTTACGTTCTCTTTCCTAACTCTAGTCAAGCATTTATCACAGATCTGTGCTACCACTGGATTGAATTCCTTGAAATTAATACTCATCTTTTTTGTCTTTGAACTTTGGGCGTCTAGCACAATTTTTTTGCATACAGTAAGTGTACAACTGATGCTTCAACTAAAATTAATTGAACTCATCTTACTCCGGTAAATGTCTCTGCCCTCCCCTCCTACTTGCTGAACTGTTTCAAAAATAAAAAAGTTGAAATTTATTCAATGATTACTGTATCCCTAGAAACAGTAGCAAAGATTTTCATGTGGGTTATCTCATTTAATTCCAAGGATGAAGCTATAAAGTAGGTACTATTATTTTCTTGATTTTATGGCAGAGAAATATGATAATTTGTCTAAACTTGCAGAGTTATAAGAATTTGTGAAGACAGAATTCAAGTCCACAGTTCTTATCTGCTATGCTATACTGTAGTAGGTGATGCGTATAGTGTGGCACCAGCTATAAAACAGTTAATGCTTCATGGGGCTATTGATATCCAAATGGTTTTTTTCTTTAAAGAAAGTAAAGCTCAAAATATGAACAATGTCTTTAGGAACTTGGGACAAATTTTTATGTGATCCTCTAACTTCATGGCTGCTCTCTACTTTGTTTCATCATTTCTGACTTTCTTCTGTTGTTAGGTCACCAGCTTGCAGTTTCTGATATCCACTGTCACTTCTCTTGTCCAGTGCTATGTGTTGTGCAAGTCTTCATGTCTCCCCTTTTCATGTCCCAGCAAATTGTTCTTTTTAGTCAACTCATCACTGAGACTGCTTCCTTCCTACACTGAGGTAGTCAAACTGACTAAACACAGAGCATCTATTGTAACCTCATTTTCAACCAGTGCTCACTCAAGGTCTGAGTCTCAATTTTCAGATACATTATCTTTTATTTGTAAACTTTAAGGTACATTATCAATTATTATTTGAAATGCCATGGCATGACATCTTGAATGTTTCTAGCAAGCATTAAAATAATTTTAAATAATCAAATACCTTTTAAAAACATTAAGGTTATACTAGTTAAAGAGCACAAAATTTAGCATTTTTATATATAATAATTTAAAAATGAGTTATTTTATTTGGTGGTAAGAATCTAATTAATACCACCTCAGCACTGCTAGGGGTAAGATACTCTTCCTAAATTTTTTTGTTTTCTGGAGACGGAGTCTTGCTGTCACCTAGGCTGGAGTACAGTGGTGCAATTTTGGCTCACGGCCACCTCCACCTCCCAGGTTCAAGTGATTCTCCTGCCTCAGCCTCCTGAGTAGCTGGGATTACAGGCACCCACCACCACACCCAGCTAATTTTTGTATTTTTAGTAGAGACAGGATTTCACCATGTTGGTCAGGCTGGTCTCGAACTTCTGACCTCGTGTTCTGCTTGCCTCAGCCTCCCAAAGAGCTGGGATTACAGGCATGAGCCACTGCGCCTGGTATCTAAGTAAATTTTTTAGATGCTTAGGCTCACTTTTTGGGGGTCAAAATATTTTAAAAAATTAACTACTTTATAAATTTAAAAATGCATATATTTTATATTTTGCTTGTTTTGCTAGTGTTTCCTACTTTTGTCTTGGTGACCATCAATAATTATACTTATTATTATAATTGCTGAAATATGTCCATCTTTTAGTTTTCCCCACCCTTTCTGTCTTTAAAATTGTCATAGAATTTTAAAAAGCCAGATAGGCAAAATTGTTCAATTAAAGGCACTGGAGTAGGGCAGCCTAGAAGCATTTTAGGTGTAGTTATAGGGCTGTGAAAATCATTTAATAATAGAACTAGATATAATTTTCAGTATTAATCATGTAATCAGTAGATTACCATGACCAAATATTTCCCAGCTCTAACTGGTCAGTTCAAATTACATCCACTAAGTTCCATGAAAATATTTTATTGTCTTAAGCAAAGAATTCAAATGCTTTGCCTTTAGCCTTCTCTGTTATATCAATGCTTCATTCATGCTATAAATAAAAAACATAAATTCTGAATTTAACAATCCGTCCTATGGGACAAACTTGAAGCTTTGAATATCTACCTGAACACAGGAATCCCCACCACAGAGTAAACGTCATTTAGATGTATAAAGATCTGAAAGAATAAACACAGAAGTTAGAATGGAATAAGAAACATCATTACCAAAGTACCGACAATTTGAAATTTCCATTTTAAACTTACATGACCTATGTTTTAAAAAGAAACTCCAAGGCCTTATTCATCATATCTAGAAAAAAAAAGTTCCATAATCTTTTTTTTTCTTAAGCAGAAGGAAACTAAATTTTAAGTACATTTCATAGAAAAATGCTGAGGTCAATTTGTTATACAGGAGAGTCATGTTAACAAAGAACTCAAAACCAACTTTCTTCCTAGAGATTCTCGGAATTATCATAACTGGACCAGACTTCAGTATTTTGCGTTAGAGAAGATTTTCTAAATCCACCCTAATTCTAGCCTCAAACAGGATGCGAGGCCACACAGGGTTATCAGAGGCTGCAAATACTTTCAGGGTAACAGAAAACTTTGTTTAGGTCAAATGTATGGCAGCAAGGGTCCTCTTTTCTCTATAGGTAAGTTTCTGTCTCTCTTTATTTTCTTTCTTCTGTTAGGTCAAGAAGAGTATTTAGGTGCCCCACATTATAATTAGTAGCCAACACAAATTTTAAAAGCTAGAATCTTTCTTTTGTAGCCTGATAAGGTTTACAGAATATTTTAAATGCTGTTTTGAATCTCAAGAATATCTGGTCCCCGACAATTTCATTCCAAGATAACTTTAAATATTAGCAGCTTAATCAGAATTATTCCAAAATTGATTACTTTCATCAAGAAAAGACTTACCTGGAGTGATTCCATTTGGTCAATTTAATTACTTAACTGATACATCACAGCTAAACTTCCCAATTTTATACATTATGCATTTTAGCAAAATTATTAGAATTATTTTCTATTGACAATTTATTCTAAAGATATGACATGTTTACATATTGAATGTTATTAAGAATAGCCTCTCCCACTATAAATGTTTTCCTATCAATTTTGCAGATGGAAATTTGTTGAGATTTCATTCTTCTGTCAATTTTTTAGTCATAAATTTTACTACGTGTGATTTTTGTGTTTCCAATTTTGTGTTAATTATTTCTATCCATAATAGCTATTAATTGCATTAAATGGCTGATAGGAATTGAATTTGCTATATTTACTCATGAGATAATCTATGAGAAAAACAATTCTGAGACAACGAGAGACTCAGGGAGATGGGGACGAGAAAGCCACAGAGAAGAGATGATTAAGAATTGGAAAGGGGCAGGTAAGAGAAAGATACTTGTATGTCAAAACATTCTTGGGATCAAAATATTTAGTATGACAAACAATAAAAAATATATACTAGGCATTTTTTTTAAAGTGAAAAATGTCAGACAAAAGCAAATCTAAAAGTAAAACAACACACAATGTTCTGATTTGTCCAGTTATTACTCCATTTAAAACTACATAACAAGTGATAAATAAATTTATGAATTAATCATGAAAATTATTGGTTATATGTCAACTTTATAAGATGGCTTTCAAAAAACAGCAAAGAATATTTTTTGTTTCCCCAAATAGTTGTTCCAATTAAAAATAGTGTAACCTTATTAAATTAATTTTGGAAAATAAAAACATAATCCCATATCCATAACAAAGCCACTATTAACACATACTATTGAATTTTGTGCAGGACTTTTGTTGTTATACATTTTTTAACATTAGCTAAAGTTTTTTAAATCATAGATTGTGTGTATTATAGAGACTATAGAGAACATCGCTGTAACCTCATAATAATAAATGTTTTTTCTTCAACTGTGACCAGATAACTTCATTCCAAAAAATCTTTTCTTGGAGTTTGGATAAGATATTTTCACAGTGAAAACTGCTGGCAAAACTATCTGTATTATTGTAATACTAAAGATAAAATGGACTGCTGGATCCCTGTCGATATACTTTTTACAACTGTAAAATAAAACGGAAAGGTATGATAAGAATACAGGACATGGTCTTTAAAGAATTAGGTTACAAGTATATAAAATAAAATAAATACTCATTACCTCTAATTTTGGATTCCTCAAATCTGCTTTCCATCCAAAGTGTTTCATAATAGCAATTCCAATTACTCTTCCTACCTCCTGGAAAAGTAGCAAGTTAAAGAAAAGAATACTAAAAATGAAAATTTTAAGTTTAAATGTAAGCAAAACTAACAGAGAAGCCTATAAGAAAATCAAGTCAGGCTATCTGACAGTAATTTAGAGTTCTGATATTAAAATCGTACATGAAAGCATTTTCTATTCCAGGCAGTAAGGCTGTATTTTATCTGCCCTAGCCCCCAATACACTCCATGGCATTAACGTCTACTCATGCATAATCTCTATTCTTGTAATTTTAGGCATATGAAATAACTAGATTATGACCTGATAAATATGATCATTCTGGGTTTCAGGAAACAGATGCAAGCTGAAAGATAACTATTTCAGCTACTATAAGCCTATGTGTTTAAAAATTACCAGATTAGTATCATTAGACTCACCCTTTAGGGTCTGACTGATTTTAAGGTTGATAAAGTATTCAGACCAATGGCCTTTAACATCACTGAACTTTGTAAGGGCCAACTGATGAGGTTTGGTGATGGCCAATTTGTGGTGTTCAGTCTTCTCTATATTGCTGAGACTTCACGTGCATTTGCAGTCTAGGTCCTGGTGACAATCCCATGTACAGGACCTGTGCAGAGTAGCCACTGAATAAGCACAAAGCTGAACTGAAGAGAAACCCCAAAAGCTGAGGACTATGGTATCAGGATTTCCAAATACAAATGACATCTGTAGATGTAAGGAAATTTTTAGGCACAAAGTATAAGAAAGGAATTACTTGGAATGGCATACCATTCCTCTTAAACATCTGAGGGAAAATTAAAAGGAAAATGTAGTTTTAAAGATATTTAATTCCATAAGAACTAATTGTCTGGGCCTAGTTATTCGTTCTGTGAGAGGTTTGCATCTCATTTTCAATCTAAAGAGTAAGTAATTCTTTAAAAAAAATGGGACCCACAGGCCAGGTGCGGTGGCTCCTGCCTGTAATCCCAGCACGTTGGGCGGCTGAGGTGGGTGGATTACTTGAGGTCAGGAGTTCAAGACCAGCCTGACCAATGTGAAACCGTCTCTACTAAAAATACAAAAATTAGCTGGGTGTGGTGGCGCACATCTGTGATCCCAGCTACTCAGGAGGCTGAGGCAAGGGAATCACCTGAACCTGGGAGGCGGAGGTTGCAGTGAGCCAGATCGTGCCACTGTATTCCAGCCTGGGCGACAGACTCCACTTTGGGATGCAAGCATACCTGTGCAGTTAAGGCCTTTCCAATAGTTCCACTGCAGCGACAAGATACTCTGAAAGTCAAGTCCTTCTGATTATGAGTATCAATTGCTTTCTCTATGTCATTCCGAAATTCTTCTTCTTGAAAGTTTTCACTTTTAGTGGTAAAATCTCTTTGCTCCAGAGTTTCTTCTTCTATTTGTTTTTCCAGCTGGCAGTCCCTATTCTCTTCTATCTTTTGCATTTGTTCTATTTTTAATTTCTTTGCAATGATGATTTCATTTTCTCCCACTTTTCTTTTTAGTTGGTTATCATCTCTCTGAGAAAGTTTTTCCTTTTTTGCATCAAGTTCAAGAAGATTTTTCCAGATTGAAATGGCATTCAACCAACTTCCTGGATCTTCATTTATAAGTCTTTGCATTTCGTTAAGTAGTTTTCCTAAATAAGAAAAATCTTGTTGATCCTATATTGAAGCTTTAAAGGCTATCTATTACAATCATCAGCCCCAAATTCCATTACCTTTATTTCTTTGAATTTTTATTAAATTGCTACATGAATAACTTCACTTCCATTTGGAGTTTATATTCCATTTACCTAAGAATATTGTGCAGAATAAAGTTCATTCTTATATTGCATATATAGCATCCACACTGTGTTAAAATTTCTATAGAATTACCATATAATAACCTAGAAAGATTATTTGTGCTATGGTAATATATGTATCTCTTCAACATATACATAGACCTAGAGTGTATATCAACCCTTAAATAATGGTGATCTTGCCTATAAAAATTAAGTTTTTATAAGAAAAGAATAAACTGAAAAACTCAGCTCAGAAACAGAGGAGCTGAATCTTGGGCCTGTTACATTTTAGCCCACACCATATTAATAAGTATATTATAGTGCGTTTCCATAAAGTAACTCACAATCCATTCATAGCTTAGCATACTGCCAGTATGCTCAGCAAAGTTTAATCTTCTCTTGATGAACCAGGGTCATCAAGATGATCCAAAAATTACTGTAGTTCCTTAAAGATGAATGTGTGTAGAGTACTGGGAGGAATTATATTTACCCCACAGTATAATACTTTGGGATTTGCTTTAAAACAATTTTTTCTGCTTGGTCTTGATTTCTTGCCATTTACATCTTTCTTAAAATAGTTTATTATAGGCTATAAATACATGATCTCTTATGTAATTCAAATTGAAGTTTAAGGCAGCGTTTAAACCTGCAGTGTCTGACTATGTTTTGTTGTTTTTATCAAGATCCATATGTTGTTTTAGTAGCATATTTATAAAATTTAGAGAGTGGACAAGAAATCTCTTATGCCCCCTTTACCTCTAATGCTTGATAAGCGGGCATCAGTTTATCAAAAACATTTAAGGTCCCAGAAATAAAAATTTTTACTATGCAGTATTTTTCCAATTACATCACACAGTTAAAATGTACAATATGACGATTTTCACTGATTTACTATTAAAATAACACATTTTGGATTACTGCATGTTTCTAAATCCAAATAAATGCAACTGACCGTATATATCTCTAGAGAAGGTACCTGATCATAATTCTTAAAGAAGAAATGTGGCTTAGGACATTAAAATCTCATAAAAAAGGCAGCACGCAGGTTGCAAAGAGAAGAAATATTCTACTATAATCAGGTGATAATATTCAGGAAATACACAATTAATGATCCCACACATGTCAATGAATATTAAAGTGTAAAATGGCTACATATTAATTATCAAGCAGAAAATGTTGGAGTACAATGTGTCATGTGGGTAAAAGCAACACACATATGGATATGCCATACCTTTACTTACAGAAGAAATAAGTGGAAACTGCTTTTTAATCAGCAAAAATAATCTTTCGGCAGATTTTAATTTCTTCAACATATTCAAATCAGAACAGGTGGTGAAAAAAACCTTTCCTGAAATATATTCAACCTAGAAATAAAAAAAACAGCTTTCAATGTAGTCCTGTGTCAGTGTAAAAATGATATTTTTTCCCTCTTAAGGTACAGTATTTAAATTAAAAATAAAAATAACCATTTCTGAAGTATCTACTATTTGTCAGGCTCTGTACTAGGAACTCTGAATAAGTATTTTCCTCCTCACCCTTATAACAACCCTCTAAGGTAGATCCTATCACCACCAAAAGTAGACAAAGGTATAATGTACTAGACAATTAGGTGTCTAGCCCAAGGTGGATATTTATTGAAGACTTACCTGTAGGCTACCAGGAAGCATAAAACATATATTCTGAATAATAGACACACACTGACATACACATTAAAACATAAGATTTATAAGACAATAACTTGAATTAAACCCAGAAGAAAACTAAAAAGTTTTAACATTATAATGCATTGACAAGCCATAAGTACACTAAGTAGAAATGAATATGAAAGCCGACATTACAAAGAGTCTTCAGAAAGAATCCTGTAAGGTTTGGGAAGAAGGATTCTAATAAAAGAACAAGGGCAGATGCAGAAGTGGGAATGAAAACCTGGCTGAAGTAAACTGTAAGCAACATTTGCTGTATTATGCTGATTGATAGTGTCAGGTGGATGGATGATGTAGTTTAGGCCAGCTTGACAAATGGTCATGAAATTTTGAGTACCACGAATGGTAATGGTCAACCATTATAGACTTTTGATGAAAACTGTGACAGCACTGAATTAGCTGACAGAAAAAATTACTTTACAAGAGGCATAAAGGACTGAGTGTAGAATGTGATGCTAGAGGGAGAAGGAGGTTACTGAGGTAGAAATGACGAGATACTTGGCTGCTGAAACTGGATAATGAGTAGAAGTGAGACATATGCATCAAACAGAAACAGGTTTTGGAGAAAGGATGGATACGTGGCAAGAGAAGGAAAATGAAAAGAGCACTGACTCACAGGAAGCCTAATATGCTGTGACAAAGGGTGCTCAATACCAATGGAATCTTAACTCTTTTAGGGTCAACCCAACCCTTTTAAGTCCAGGATGGATGTGGGCTCTCTTGGAGCTCTCTTTTTAGCAGTGGCCAACAATTGAATAGCATGGTTCTAAATAATCTCCTAGAACTCGGACACCAGGGACTGTGGGGTTTCTTGTGTGTTAAGGCAGCTACCATCCATGGGTACTTGAACTCCAAGGGTTTTTGCTTGTTTTGGATCTGACAAGATCTAATTAAACTCTTGGAATGGTAATTTCTGGGGTTGCTACTCCAGGCTGATGAAAGAGAATCTCTCCTGAAGAAGCCCTAGACTGGCACCAATTAAAACTCAAATAGCTTACAGCAATGCAGCTGACCAAAATAGATGGAGGAACAGACAATGACACTATGGGAGGAAGCAGGGAATGAAAAGAACATTTAGGAATCAATACATAAGGGGAGAGTGAAGTAACCAAAACCAGAACTTCTGGTTTCTAGAATTTACTTCTTTCTTATTACATAGGTGACATTTCCCCAAAACTAAAGTATATACTTCAAAATGCTTAGAAACTTGAAAACAAAGTTTTAAAAAGTAAATTATCAAAAATTCGTAAGTTAGCTGACGTAAGAATATAGTTGATACCAAAGTCATCGCAGAACAATTTAACTGACGAAATACTTTGCCAAGATTCTGGGGGAACAGGACTAAATATTTTACTGAAAATGTATGGTTTTAAGTTTCAAATTCTGTAAACAAGTAATATGATGCGCAAAGATCTAGACCAGTGACTTTAACCTACGTAGTCAGTGATCTAGATATTATAGTTACTTAATTGTACGAAGATCTTCTTTTCTTATTCAAATATCAAGGGAAGCATTTTATCTGATGAGCTTTCTCTAACATATATATATATAAAATATATTTATATTTTGAAAATGTATATTTGCATTTAAATATATATATATTTCCCCCTGGGGCCAGTGGTTTCCAAAAAGAATATGACTATCAAGTTAATTAAGAGGACCCAAAAAGTTTATTTAGAACATCGGATCATAAGAATAGTATGTTAGTGCAGTAAAATGCCAAATACATTCTCAAAACCCAAAACTGCAACATTATTCTAAGAATTATACATTCTCAAAACCAAAAGCAGCAACATTATTCTATGAATTATCATAAGGCCTACATTTCTTTTAGAAGTAATAAGCATGTTATCAGAAGTAGAGCAGGTCCTTGAATAACACTGTTTTGTTCAACATTGTTTCATCATGATACTGATAAGAAAAAATACCAATTCCCAGCCAGGGCTACTGTCCAGGTGAACCATGTCTGCATGGGTTTTCCCTGAGTACCCCAGTTTCCTCTGACATCTCAGAGTGTGCCTGTTATGTCACTGGTATGTTTACATGGTCCCAGTGCAAGTAAATGTGGGTGCGTGTGAGTGCGCCGGGGAATGGGATGGCATCCTATGCAGGACTGGTTCCTACCTTGTCCCCTGAGCTGCCCGGATAGGCCCTGGTCAGTGACAACCATGGAATAACTGAACTGGAATAGATGGATAAATAATTATCCTACTTGTTTTTATCAATCTTTCTTAAATGTATGTATAGCTTACATTTATTTCAATGTTTAATATTAGAAGAGTTATTTCAGCATTTACTATTAGAAGTGTTCTAAATAACCTTTTTATTTAGAAGTCTGTGAAATTTTTGCGACTAGAAATATACTGTAGGAACTCTTGTTTATTTCAATTAGCCTATGGTAAAAATGATTTAATTATACATCCTTTTGCTTGAAGTCAAAGTTTCCAGGAACCTACTGATGACATTAAATGAAGACTTACTGTAGTTTAATAAATTGTAAAATAGTGGTAACTGTGAGAATCAAATAATCCTATCTGTGAATGCACTTAAACAGTTCACTCTTTGTGAAGATAGGTATTATATCTTAAAACAGTAGGGAGAATTAATTTTAGTGTTTATGATTTCAAGAACTGCTGAAGCTACTAATTCTCTTTTTCTTTAGTTTATTTCTTGTAACTATTCATATTTAATTACAACACTCAGGGAGAAATAAGGCATTTGGAATATTTTGTTCTCAAGTTTCTCACCTGAAAATTTATTTATATATACAATCTAGTTTTTTCTATCTAGAATTAAATCATAACCAAGTGTCTAAAAACACCTGGTTTTATGTATAACACTTCCAAAGATGAAATAACAGCCTTTATTAAGTAATAACAGCTCTATTTTCTACTAGATTATCTAAACATTATTTTTCCTTTCTTTTAAAATTCATGGATTCAAATTTAACACCAAAATTAAAAGTTTAAATCTAGGGTGAAAGTGGTAGCTCACGCCTATAATTCCAGTGTTTTGGGAGGCCCAAGTGGGAGGGCTGCTTGAGCCCAGGAGTTTGAGACCAGCCTGGACAACACAGTGAGACCCTGTCTGTGCAAAAAGTAAATGAGTTGGGCATGGTGGCATGTGCTTGTAGTCCAAGAGGCTACTTGGAAGGGTAAGGTGTGAGGATTGCTTGAGCTGGGGAAATAAGGTTGCAGTGATCTGTGATCACGCCACTGTTCTTTAGCCTGAGTGATAGAGCCTGATCCTGTGACAATTTTTTCGAAAAAGTCTAAATCTACGCAAAAACATATCATGATATAGGGAGGTACCAAAGGTCTCCTAATTCTACAGAGGCCAGTTTCAGAACTAATTTGAAAGTGCTAAGTGATGGGTTAATGTGGAGTTTGAGTTTGTTTTGGTTTATTTTAGAAGAAGGAATTCAAAAATATGTTTCACTTAATTTGTAAAAAGGACATTCAGCTGGGCATGGCAGCTAATGCCTGTAATCCCAGCACTTTGGGAGGCCAAGGTGGGCAGATCACTTGAAGTCCGGAGTTCAAGACCAGCCTGGCCAATATGTTTAGTAGAAACCCTGTCTCCACTAAAGATACAAAAATTAGCTAGGCACCTGTAATCCCAGCTACTTGCGAGGCTGAGGCAGGAGAATTGCTTGAATCTGGGAGGTGGAGGTTGCAGTGAGCCAAGATCACACCACTGCACTCCAGCCTGGGTGACAGAGTAAGACTCTGTCAAAAAAAAAAAAAAAAAAAGAGGCATTCAATTTAAAGTGAATGCAGAGAATCTTTAAGGCAACCTTATGCAATTATTCCATTAAATGAAAATAACTATGAAATAATCTGACTTTCTGCTTAACTCGACCCACTACCCTCGACTGTGATGACACCATTAAAAAAACAAAAATTTACGTGGCCTATTCAGGACCTGTGTTAATAGTGTTTGATATGTGAGTTTACAAAGACCAATGAATCAACTGATAGGACTTTTCTGGTGAACTGACATTAGAGACATCTCTACAACATTCAATTTTATCTTAAAATAACTGTTCCTACTATTAGTCTTACAATAAATAGCAGTACTTAATACATTAAACATTATTATAAAGTAAAGCTTAATTTTTCTCAATATATTAATTTCTTCAAAGTAGTCTAAGTGATCCGTGTTTGTAGATACGTAAATTAAATATTTAACATCATCCAGGGACTTATGAAGAAATTTGCCATACAACCAGAAGGGAGAAAAAACATCAAACTTGAATCTGACCAAGTTCTAGATACAACTTACAGGATTTCAACTTGTAGGAAATACAGAGGATAGAGGAACATGTTAAACTACACCATGCAGACTCAGCATACTATTTTTTTTCTTTTTTTTTTTTTTTTGAGATGGAGTCTTGCTCTGTTGCCCAGGCTGGACTGCAGTGGCGTGATCTTGGCTCACTGCAACCTCCGCCTCCAGGGTTCAAGCAATTCTCCTGCCTCAGCCTCTTGAATAGCCGGGACTACAGGTGTGCACCACCACACCTGGCTAGCTTTTTGTATTTTTAGGAGAGACGGGGAGAGACGGGGTTTCACCATGTTGGCCAGGCTGGTTGAACTCCTGACCTCAGGTGATCCGCCCACCTTGGCCTCCCAAAGCGCTGGGATTACAGGCGTGAGTCACCGCACCAGGCTAGATTCAGCATACTATTTTGTTTACTTTTGTATATTTCTGAAATTCTCCATGACAGAAAGCTAAAGAGAATACACAGGAAATTTTCCACTGCAAGCTGTGTGTTGGAGTTACCTGGGAGGGCAGCATGTTTTCATGTTAAAATTGTATCACCTGGGCTTACCAGCCACCCTGTTAAAAGAAAACCTTCTGGGGCTGGCACCCAGAAATACTCATTTTCAACTAGCTTCCCCAGTGATTCTTATGTTCATCAAAATTGGAAAAACACTGATTAAAATGAGGTGACTACTTTCTTAAACAATCATTCTTGAATTAATCTGTTTTGTAAATTTAGATTTTAGAATATTAACTTCCTTGATGTGATCCAAAGTTTCTAACACTCTCTTGTCACTAAAAGAATGTTTTAAGTATTACTATACAACTCATTGTATGGGAACTAAAATTTATTGAGCACCAACTATTTGCTAGGCATCATGCTACCTGTGCTATCTTTGTTTCAGTGATTACATTAATCCTTTAAAGTAGCTATCATCTCTATTTTACATTCAAGACAATTGAGGCTCAGAAATTTGAGTAATTTGCCCAAAGTTAGATATCTACTACAGAAATATATAAGATCTGCACACAGGTCTTTTGATTCTAAAGCCCATACATACTCTACCATGGTGTTACAAAAATAAACTACATCCAATGTTCCAGGGCAGATTCCCACGGTAACTTAGCCTGGTGGTAAAGCACACAGGCTTTAAAACTAGAAAGGCTCCAGATACAAGTCCCAATCTTCTCTTTTTTTGTAAAATATGGAGGTAAAAGTCTATTACATAGGAGTCTTTTGAGGATTAAATCATAACATGCACATAACTTGTCTAACATTTTAAGTGCTTAATAAATGTTAGTTGTCATCACTGTTATTACAGGATTGCCTTAACTTTGAGAGTTCACTTTGTATCAGAGCAACTGAGGTGGAATTTCAGAGATTATCTGTTCAGATCCCATTTCCGGACCTATTTATCCTTCAAACATACAAGAGCAAAATATGGAAATTCCCAAATCTACTGGCATTTAATTACTCTCACTGTCACAAAGTTTTCCCTATAGGTAATTGAATTTTCTTCCTGGTAATAAAGTTTTCCCAATTTCATTTGTCTTTAGAGAAGATGGAGAACAAGCAGAGAGTCTTTCTTTTTTCTAATAAACCTACATATTCAACTGGGCCAAGCCATCTCTCTTTCACACCAAGCACTCTAAGTCAGCGTTTGAAAAAACAAACCAGCGCAGCCCTATGTCATGGGCCTGGTTTGAACGTGATTATATACTCATTCTTGATTTCCCAGCTCAGGTTTGAATCCCATCTTTGCGATTTTCTAGTTGCATGATTTGAATAAATTATTGGACTTACCTGTGCTTCATTTTTCTCATCTGTTAAATGTGGAACGCCTACCTTATAGGGCTGTTGTGAAAAGTACGCAAATAAATGTAGGGAAAAGATCTAAGAACACATGCCTGACACATATTAAATGTTCAATAAATGTCAGTAGTTACTACATATTGTTGCTTTTTTAGATTAGCTACATTCAACACTCTATTAAATTCTGTGACCCAAAACACAGGTGGCAGGCAGTCTAATAAAACTGACATAATTCTTCATGACTCCAACTCTTCACTGCGGAAACTCCTTTTGTGGGCTTCCCACACTGTAGAAGCTGCCAGGGTGGAAGGGTTAATTTCATTTAGCAAGCTCTCTTTTCCAAGAGCACACCACTCACACTGTCCCATGTACCCCCCCATCAAGATACCTTTTCTATTATACCTTCATCCTCTACTTTCAAGAAACCAGTTTTCAACGTTCTAAAACCTAAACCAATGCTTAAAAACTTTGTTCATTTCATGGAAATCAACAACAGATAACCATGAGGCCCGCAAGAGTATATTATTTTTCTGGCTGCTATTTACTGCGCGTTTAAAGTGTACTTTGCATACGCTATATCATTTAATCCTCACAACAACCCTATGAAGTAAAATACAATCACTGTCAAGAAACTAACAAAAAGTCAGGTAACTGAACTTGGAGATCATCTTTGCATTTAAAGAACGAAGGGTTCTAACTCTGACAGGCCAGATTCTAATTACAGGCACCAGTAAGTACTTTAAAGAATGCAGGAAATAACTTGCCTCAACACCTCTCTTAAAAACTTGAGCCCTGAGAAAAGAGGAACTGGATTTGCTATGCAAGGAAAGAAAAGAATGGTGGCTTCCCTCGGCCATAGCGGAAGCGCCTGCCAGTCAACCTCGAGGGGCGGCGACCGTCGCGTGGAACAGAGAGGGGCGCCGGCGTCGCTTTCCCGCGTGCACGACTGGCCTCGGGTGGGCAACGGGGCAGGGGCAGGGCCGCCCACCTTCCCAGGCGCGCAGCGAGGCCCACTCACCTCCGTGGCCGCCAGCCGCGCCCGCACCTCGCGCATCAGGAACGGCTCCAGGCCGCGACCCGCGGTGCAGAAGAATCGGGCGCCGGCCTCAGTTCCGGACCCCGGCTCTCCACGCACCTCCGACATGGCGGCTGGGGCGCGCCCCCGCGGCTTCAGGTCACGTGGCCTCGGGCGCGCGCGGCTCGCTCCCGGAGGCGGCGCGCAGGGGCGGGTGGTGCCAAAGGCGGGGTGGGGAGGGAGAGCCCGGGAGGGTCGTATCAGCCCGCCGTGGCCCCTATGGGTCTTCCTGGTTGACCATATGTTCCCTCCTTCATTAGGCGCACCGAAATGGGTTAGAATCATAGGTGGAAGGGCTAGAATTGATAATTCAGTCCTGTTGCCTTATTTTGTAGATTGAGGAAATTAATGCCCAGAGAGGTCAAGAGACAGCGAGTTAGCAGCACAGCTGAGGCTGGAGCCTAGATTTCTCCCTATGTAACATAATGCTTTTTCTGTTCCTCCCAACTCCGTCCTCTTCCTGTCCTTCATTCCTCTCTTCCACTCTTCTCATAGAAGGAGCCCTGCTCTGTTTTCACAAAGAATTGGGCCAAGCCTGTGAATCTCCAGGACGGAGAGCAAAAGTTCCTGTTCTCTAACAAATGTCTGCATTCTGAAACAGCTCATTTCTTGCACTGCTTATTAACCATCCAACCGTAGATGAATGAATGTGCCATCTAGTTTTGGGCACCTGATTTGAATGGTTCTCCTAAGTATTTGAGGGCCTTTTTCTAAACTCTGAATTTTAAAATGGAAATGAAAATACTACTTGGGGAGCATAGACAGAATCCATGTTACAGGATAAACAGCGTGAAATTAGCTCTGTAGCTGTACATTGAGTCAGTTTTACAGAAATGATAAATGCATGTCTGTCTCTGACAAGGGGCTCTCCTGTGCTTCAGAATGGGATGCTAAGGTGAAGAACTGATACTCCCTCACCTTCCCCGACACTCCCACCGCCCCCCGCAACCACCCCCAACTCATGCTCTACTGGGCCCTACAGTAAAAATTCTTCATAGAGTCACATCACATGAGCTTTTCCAAGGTTCAATCTTAGGACTTCTCAGATGCTTCTTTTTAGTTTTTATTTTTTGAGACAGGTCTCCCTCTGTCGCCCAGGCTGGAGTGCAGTGACGTGATCTTGGCTCATTGCAACCTCCACCTCCTGAGCTCAAGCGATCCTCCCACCTCAGCCTCTCCAGTAGGTGGAACCACAGGCGAGCCCCACCACACCGGGCTAATTTTTGTATTTTTTGTAGAGACGGGGTTTCACCATGTTGGCCAGGCTGGTCTCGAACTCCTGAGCTTAAGCGATCCGCCTGCCTCGGCCTCCCAAAGCGCTGGTATTACAAGCACCTGGCCCTCACACACTACCATTTTGATGAATTCTTTTCTTGCCTTCAGACGTATGTTCTCCTTTTCTGGGCTACTGCCATAGCTCATTCCAACTTCTGTATACTTTGGGGTTCTGTCAAGTCTGTCTGGGGAGGACAGGAACCCTCTTTAGTTCTCTCTACATTCTGTGCCCAAGATGTTAAGTATGCAGATAGGATGCATTCCATTCAGTTCAACAAATACTGAACACCTACTCTCTGCAAGTTACCACCCTGTCTTGAGGATTCAAAGATGGGTAAGCAAGGGTTTGGACTTCAAGGGCTTAGAGGATGGTGAAGTTGAATGACTTACTGAGGACATACCCAGGAAGATATGACGGTACCGACAAAGAGGAGGCGGAGAGGGCTTCCTGGACAAAATCGCTCTTGAGCCCAGCATTGAAGGATATGTAAGAGGGAGAAGCAGCAGATGAAAATGTCTGAGACAGTGTGTGGGGGGTGGGGAACAGGAAGGCCACGATAGCGGTTAGGTGTTATTAGAGCATAAAGTATATGAGTGGAGTTGATAGAGATGTGGTAGAGCCGTGGGTGGGGGCCCAGTTATGTCAGTACAACCAAAGGCAGTTGAAAAAATAAAATGACCTATTCAGCCCAGCTCCGACCAGCAGTGTGCTCACCTGGATGAAACCACAGCTGAGCTGAGGCTGCAGTCTTGCAGAGCCAATCAATCTTCCCCTTACATTCCGCTCTTTCTTCTGATGACTTTTCCCCTCCAGGAGCCTTTGGTTAGCAAGGTCAGGGGCTACTCTTGTTTCAGATGTGGGGGTCATGTGCATTTGTTCCTTTTGAACTGTGCTGCAGCACGTCAGCTGTACCAATGCCCTTCACAAAATGCTTGCGATGTGATGGAATAGGGGGAGTTCTGCCTCTTTAGGAAGAAATTAATTCACTTTCTGCTAAGAGAGTTGCCTGGAATTCTCTCCCCCATTACTCAGATACTCTTTTCTCCATCATCTCTTATCATTTAAAAAGTATCTTCTGAAAACTATGGATCTCTGTAGACAAATTTAGCATATCCAGCTGCAATTTGCTGTTTGAATATTACATATTTCAACATGTAGGAAATTGGAAGTCGGCAGGAACAATTTTAGAATGGACAGACTTTTAAGTGGAGGTGTTTTAAGAATTTAGGACAAGACTATTTGCTTCGAGATAGCTCCCTATTTTGGTGCCATTGACAATTCTTTTAGTTCTTAAAGGTGTATGATATATATTCTTATATATTAAAATGAAAGTGCTATAGATTGTGAAATCCTTGAGGGTGGGATGACTTCATCTGGGCATCTGTAGCGAGAACACTGGCTTGCCTGTGGCGGCCTCTCAAATGTATGCCAATAAAAAGTAACTACATGGAAGGGCAACTAAGGAGGTCCCTCTCAGGAGAATTGCAGTAACTGCCCTATCAGCAGGGGCCTTTGCAAGCAGGATACTGGAATAAAGGCAAGGTAGTGAGGGCAATGAAGTAGAGAAGTGAGGGCATGAAGGGGATAGGAGGACCCCCAAAATAAACTTCTTCACAACTTTGCTTGCTACTTCCTCTCTTCCTCATTATCTCCTCTTCCTCCCTCTACACTTTATAAATAATGTTTCTTATCCAGGAATACTCCTCAGAATTACCTGAGAAGTCATCAGTGTCAAGCTTGCCACCTCGCTCTCCTGTATTCTGGTACAGTTGAGTAGGGTTGGTGACAAGCCTTGGCCTCTTCTCTCCATGAGATAAAGAACTGTTGCTAGATGCCAAGCAATTCAAGTGCTGACTTCTTCAAAATGCCCACTACTTCCCTTCTCCCAGGCCATTGCTTACACAGTTCCCTTTGGCTAGAGCGCTCTTCTCTTCCTTTCTTTATTTTTCTTTGAGGATAGGCTAGAATGCCACATCTTCTATGGTGCGCTTTCCTGCCTTTCTTGTACGCTTTCACTTATGCAATATTTTATACATTTATCATTTGTTTATTCATTCATAAATACTTGTTGAGTTTGTGACAAATGTGCTAGTTAAATGTTCCAGCCTTTGAGAAACTTTCAAATCAATGGGAGGTAATGGTGACAGGGCTGAATTGCTGAGAGGGGCACATAAAGGATGACAACACGGTGTCATATATGGGAATAAAAGGAAAGCAACTGGCCTCAGCAATGGTAGCCACTTAGTGAAGTTGAATAGACGAGCTTATTCTGAAGCTGAGTAAGCCTTTGTCATGTATTTGGTTTCTTATCTCCCTTTGAACACCATATTAGTCCATTCTTGTACTGCTATAAAGCAATGCCTGAGACTGGGTACTTTATAAAGAAAAGAGGTTTAATTGGCCCACTGTTCTGCAGGCTCAACAGGAAGCATGGCTGGGGAGGCCTCAGGAAACTTACATTCATGGGGGCAGAGGAAGCAGGATTCTCTTAGATGGCTGGAGCAGGAGGAAGAGAGAGGATAGGGAAGTGCTCCACACTTTTAAATCACCAGATCTCGTGGGAGCAGGAGGAAGAGAGAGGATAGGGAAGTGCTCCACACTTTTAAATAACCAGATCTCGTGAGATCTCACTCACTGTCATGACAACAGCAAGGGGTAACTCCACCCCCATGATCCAGTCACCTCCCACCAGGCCCCTCCTCCAACATTGGGGATTACAATTCGACATGAGATTTGGGCAGGGACACAAATCCAAACCATATCTCTGCCAAGTCTGGGGCATCATCCTTCTGATGAGCCCCACCCACTTCCTGCTGGTGGAGCCTCTTTGCTAACCAGGGCATAGTCATGTGATCTAGACATTACCGATCAACCTCACATGACTCAGAAATGAGCCATATAGGGGAAAAGGCTCTTTCCACAATTCCTTTTACTTTCCTGGGGATACTGTTGGGGTGTCTGACCTTCAGGAACAGCCTCATGAATAGGATTGAGTTCCCGAGGCAGAAGAGAAACTGCTGGGGTGGCGGTAGTAGGGGCAGCAGTTAGTTTTCTGGTCCCGGCCAGTTTCTGAAAGCTTAGCTTCCAGATTGGTTTTCCAGACTGCCCAACAAATGAGTCCCAGACACACACACACACGCACGCATGCACGCACACACGCTTTACTTTGCTTAATCAGTTGAAGTTAGCATCCATTTCTTGCAACAAGGAATCTTGATTGATACAGGCACCCACTCTTCCTAGGTAGGAGCAGCTAACTTGATTTGCTTCCCTCCCTGTGATTTGTATTAGCCTAGTCTCTTCCCCCATTCATTTGTGAGCATTGCACTGTGACAGTATGATGAACTCCTGCCACACAGCCTCATAGAGTAACTTGGAAAGAGTAGGATTTTATACATTTTATGGAATTCAATTGTATTATGGCATTGTGGTAAAACCACAGATACAGACACACGAATCTGTCAGACAGACACATTCCAACCGAGTCAGTATAGGTTGTGAAAAAGAGAATCTACATATTTTTATGGCAAATGCAAACCATTTAGGAAAAAACTATTGGTCACATACTGATCCTTTAAACCACTTAAGTACACAAAATAATCATCTTGAATGGTGCTTCTTTGAACATACAATCAAAAAGGAGAAAATTCAGCAGAACATTGCATGGTATATGGAAATACTGTCCTTAAAACAGTATTTGCTAATTAGTGTTTACAGCACTAGTTTTAATGTAGAATCAAAATTCAAAAGATACAATCTTTACGCTCTGATCTAGAGAGATAATTCTTTTTTTATGTTATCTTTGCTTTAGATCTATAGTGCAT